CACACACACACACACACACACACACACACACACACACACACACACACACACACACACACACACACACACACGTCAGAATGTGAACACTTTGATGTTTAGCGGTAAAATCCTGACGGGTCGTTCAGAACCGGTCCAGATGTAGGGGAACACTCTGCCAGTGAAGGTGTGTGTGAAGGTGTGGACGTGCTCATTGGTTTCAGCATCAAAGAAGGACACGCTGTCCTGGTCCAGGTCCAGGTCCACTCGGATCTTCTGCAGGGTCTGCACCGGGAGCAGAACYGAAGTCCCAGGAGGGGCGATGGCTCGGTGTTTCTCGTCGCACAGCTGGATCCTCCAGAGTCCAGACTGCAGGTCTCCTTTCCTCTGGTGGGAGTCCTGCAGGACACCCAGCTCCCAGCGGGTCTGGTCCTCCACGCAGACCTCCCAGCTGTGGGTCCCACAGCTGAAGCCCTCTGAGCCCAGGACGGAGCAGGACCCGTCCATCCTCTCCGGGTTTTCAGGAAGCTGCCGTTTCCCACCACACCTGGTGGAGGTCAGGTCCTTGGACAGGATCAGTTCTGGGCTCATCGTGTTCGGGTCCAGAATCACAGGACTGAAGGAGACCTGGTCCTTCATGGCAGCCCAGATGTTGAAGCCCAGGTTGCCCAGATGTTTGGCCTGATCGATCAGAGCTCCAGGGAGCAGGTCCAGGTTGTCCAGTGGGGGGCGGCTCTGCACCCGGTCCACTATGGTCCGGTACATCATCAGGACTGACAGATCCGGAGCTCTCAGCTCTTCTTCTGTGGTTTTGATGAGGTCCAGCAGGTCCAGCATGTGTCCCCTCAGCAGGTCCAYGCTGGTCTTCATCAGCTGACTCTTCCTCTGCTCCTCCTCCAGCAGAGCTGCCAGCCTCAGCTTCTCCTGCTCCTCCAGGAACACGTGCAGCTTCCTGAACTCCTCTCTGATCTGGATCCCGGTCAGGCGGGTCTGGACCTTGATGAAGTCAGCTGTCTGGTGAGCCCTGACCTTGACCTGGTCCAGCAGCTTCATGTTGTCCTGTAAGGTCCTCAGCGTGTCCTGCAGCTGCTGCCTGAGCTGCTGAGCAGCTTCAGAACTGGGTCTGAGGCGGTGCTGCTGGTGGATCTCTGAGTCCCTGCAGACCACGCAGACCGGCTCCTGGTCCTCCAGGCAGAACAGCTGCAGCTTCTCTCCGTGCAGGCGGCAGGCGTCCCCCCTGGGCCAGGCCCTCCCCAGGCCCGACGAGAACATCTCACACAGGTTCTTCAAGGCCAGGTTGCAGAGGACGTCCTTCTGGTTGGACACGTCCTTACAGAGAGGACACTCTGGGACGTCCTTCTCCGCCCACCAGCTGTGCAGGCAGACCTTACAGAAGCTGTGGCTGCAGGGCAGGATGACCGGATCTCTGAAGACCTCCATGCAGACGGGACACCGCAGGTCCTCCTCAGGTCTGTGGGCCATCCTGGCTCAGAGCGACGCCRAGGGGAACCCAGACCAGGGTTTTGTTCCAGAAGAGTTAAAGTCCTGCGTGTGGCAGAGTTCCACCTGACAGACTGACAGGAACCCAGGAGCCAAACGAGTCTTTCTGGAACCTGAAGTCCGGGTTGGGGTGGAGACTCGACCGGTCCGGCTTCATTCCAGACCAACAACACAACTTCCTGTTTGTTAAAGTTAAACTGTAGATTTTTCAGCTGAACTCTGAACTTTGTCAGTAAAAAAACAAACTAATCCTGAACTTTGTGAGTTTAAATCTTTTAAACTCTTTTCAGAAGCGTTGAGACGTGTCTGAGCTGCCACTGCTTGTCTCATGTGYCCAACAGACACTAAATGTCTTTCATTTTCTCTTTTACACTGTAACTCTTTTATAGAAAATCTAAAAACCAGCTGCAGCCAGTGAAAACATATTTAAAYGTGTTGCTTTACTTCATTACGTGTTTCTAACCTGACAGAAAGTATAACTGAATGTTTGAATGTGAAAAGAGTTCAGGTTTAAAGCTGGTCTCTGCATTCAGCCACTTCTTCAGGATCTGACCCCGCCTACTAGGTTTGACATCACTGGGGGGCGGGGACACTTTCCTGCTCCGGGTCAAMTCCTCTCAACATAATGTTTCTTTTACATTCAGTCACTTTGGGTTAGAGATGGATAAATGTCTCTTTGAAGGGATCCGGACCTTAGGGAGCCGCTGGTTTCATAAAGCCGTTCAAAAGAGCCGTTCGATTTTGAACGTATTACGTCATCACGTCGCCGTACGTAATGACGTAATCCCATCACGTGGGTGGAACCATGTGTTTGTCAAGCAGAAACCCCCCTCCCCCTTTCACCGTGAGCTTCTGTACTCTGCCTGTTTTCCAYGAAAAAGCAAAGCAGGAGCGATTTAAGTATGAAAAATAAAGATGATATGAGGAATAAAAGAAATAAAACCACAAATGGCTCGTTCCTGTCCGCGATTCGGCTCCTATCGTTCATTGTTAAGAGCCGTTCAAAAGATTCGGATCGTTTGTGAACATCACATCTCTRCTTTGTGTTGAATGTGTTCAGGCTTGTAGCTTATTTACTTCCTGCTCTGAGTGACCACATCGTCCAGCCATCCAGACCAGTCTGGACATAAAATCATCAATTTAATCACAAATAATCACACAGTGGTTTATTATAAAACTATATCAGAATATATGTACCTTTTAAAAGTCAGTAAGTAAACAAACCTTAATAAATGTCTTCACCAGTGTAAARGTTTTCAGTGAAATTGAGGAAGTTGTGTTGAATGTTGTCGTTTCATCAAACTTTTTAAAAAAAACATTGATGAAAAACGACTTCTGTCCTGGAAGTCTTCACACTTTTTCTGGATTGTTTCCACACATTTTCTGAAAGCTCAGACCTCCACACACACACACAC